CAATGGGAAGAAAAGGAGCCAAGATAAAGGCGCGTGCAAGCAACGGCTGATTTTTGGTGAATTTTTGAAAAAATTAGTCGTTTTTGGGGATTTGTGTCTTCCCCATGGGGAATTTTGGGGATCCGACTTTTGATTCGTCAATCTAAAATCAGGCTCTATTATGGGCCAAAATTTCATCTTCGTAGCAGGGCTGGAAGTACGAAAGTGGGTCTAAAAGTGTCGATTTCACGTAGGTACCAATACGGCGAGGACAAGGACGTAAAGTCAAAATCAAAATCTGAATGCGGATCTGTATCTAAGTGTTTCTTCGAAATTCTTTCGGGGTCCCTGCGCCATTAACTAGCCGCTAAGAAGAAGCACGATTTAGAAGTCGTTCTCCGTAAGCCCTCGTTCTTGTTTCATGTTCATTATGTTGGTTCTAATAAAGCCTGTTTCGTGCTGCCGTGTTCTTCCCACCTTTCACGCGCGTAACTTCATACATTACACTACCTAAATGACAGTTATCCAATTACAAATTCGAAGAAAATCGTTTCCTACCATAATTTGAACATTAAAAGTCAGTCCACATTTTTGACCATGTATCATCATCGCACAATTAGGTAATCAACCTTTTTAATTGGTAAATTAATAAGGTGATGAGCCGCCTCAGAAGTCTGCTTGCGCAGCACAAGGTGGAACACTTTTTCTCAAACCTGTTCGTGAAAGTTGAAATAATTCGCTTAAAACATTCGCTTAAAACGTTCATACTATATTAGATTAAAAGTCTAGAGCTGTTATCTGAATTTTTCCAATAGTCATCACCAGAACGGAAGGACTTTCCGTATTTCCTTCTGCAAGATTCCTTCGTTGTTCCCATATAAAATATATGCAGAAGCTAGGTTTAGCTTAGCTCTCGACTAGGCCTGCATCTCCTGGAGTTTTTTTTACCGTTTATTTGTATAGCTTCACGAGATCAAAGTTCTTATATTTCCACGGTGTCGCTCGTGAAATTTAATTCAGTGTTTAACAGGAACAAATTTAGGCTTCTGATTAATAGGCTGAACCTTGAACGAAGTTTCGCGAAAACCTTGTGTTGCGTCATGTTAAGAAGTTTAAGAAGTTCCCGTCTATTCCTATTTACAGAAGTTGTTCTTCGGCTGATGGTAGAATAAATTGCTATTGTCCATTATTATGATTTGGCTCCGCTTCTAAAACTTGGACCCAATTACCGGACTAAAAAATCTAGAATCCGTGTATCAGAATTAGATAAAAAAGTCTCCATCAATACAATATATATGTATATATTTATCATTGATATGTATTTATGTTATATATTTCCTTGCATTTATAGAAGCAATGCGCTCAGTTCACACATCTTATATTCCTACTGTCAATACGCATGTATGAATTTTTTTTAGTTTAGTAATTATTCAAGTTCGTTTTCGACAGTCACCGTCCGAAAAATTATGGATTGGCTTAATTTGCGCCAGAAAAATTAAGCTTAAAATAAAAGTGCAATTGAAAAAGAAAGAAAAATAAGCTTCCTATTCGAAGTTGGTGAAGTTTCGTGAAAGCAATAGGAAATCCTAAGTTAATACTCGAGTCCTAGTCAGTTAGCTAGTAATAATCCTAGTAATAATCCTAGTCAGTTAGCTAGTGCTCACATTTTCTCATAATTCGAGGAATTCATTCACTTCACAGCGACAGGTGCGTCAAATTAACCTAATTTTATATCCCTTGAGTGCGGTGAAACTACTCAAATTCAAAAACAGGAAATAAGCCTTAATTTATATGAAGGCTCTCGCTGAAAACATTCATCAGACGTTTCTATCTGTCAATAAATCTTGAAGCATTTATTCCCTCGAATCTACGCGCTCACTTGAAAAATTATCTCTTTGGTGGGCGACTAAAGGCATTGGTGGGATGAAAGGCATTGATGGGTAATTTTAATACATTTCAGCCCCCTACAACTAAAATAATCATTTAATATAAGGAAGCTGGTGATTCCTATCTCAGAAAAATATTGCAGGAATCTCAGAAAATAATTGGGAGAAACCTCAGTCAAACCCTCAAACTGAGTTTGAGTTTGATCTCGGAAAACACTTGGACAAATCCCGAATGAAGATATTCGAAATTTCGGAATGATATTGAAGTGACTATCTTTTCCATTGAAAGGCCGAGTGAACTCCATGAATCACCATCATGAATGAATCACCATTAAATTTGCAATGAAATAATAAATTTCGGTACTTCATCTCAATAACCAGGAAAGAAAAATTCTGTTGCCAGTTTAAATATTCTAGGTTGAATAGATTAAATATATACCAATTATAGGTTAAATATATACCAATCGGTTCGGTTAATTTCTCATCTAAGTTACAGTACAGTTCAGTACAAACTTTAATAAATTTTACAACCAAAGCTGAGTTAGTTACTGCGACTTCCCATATGAATTAAAGGATACAACGGACAGGAAAATAAAAGTCGCTCGTTGTTAATTATATTTTATCAATTAAAATTGAACCGATGAACATCGTATTGATCGGAATCAGTCTACGGAACATCAGGTGAGTGGATAATTTGTCCAGACACATAGCGGTCATTTTAATAAAATAATCATAGAAATCTTATGATAAAATGATTTCAGTGCGTTTAATTTCAAGAAAAATCATATATAGATCTCAAATGATATAATCTCATATCTTCATTGGATTTATTCCTCGGAAACAGCAAATCATATTATCATTGCTTCAATCAATACACACCATTATCCGCAGATCGTTTAGTCCACGGTAGTTCAAGGCATAGATAATTCTAATATTCAACAATCAAGAAGTTTAAAAGAAATTGAAATCTTTGTTTCGGCGAAGACCATGGATTGAAAAATTTTAAAAAGGAAAACCCTGCAACGGTTAATTGAATTAACGCAATCAATGTGTACAACAATGCAAATAAATAATAAAATATTATTATTTTGGACTCGTTATGCCTCGGTATTTAAGTTGACTGCCTCAACTGTTGCAAATTTAGTACGAGCTCAAAAATAATTTTACTATTCAATATTCAGAAAATTCGGAAATTAAATTTATATTTTGGTTAAGTCCAAGAATCAAGGACCAACGAAAATTTTGATCAGTTAAGTAGAAGCTATGCTCCCTATAGCTTATTGAATTAACACATCACGCATTAAAATTTAGATCAGCTACTTATTTGCCTTTCACCAAGCTTGATTTTTTGGCTCTCATCAATTGCAATGGAGGTCGACACAAGAACGTTCATAACAGATTCCATATCCTTCGTTCTTCTATTTTTTTCACCGGTAACATCAGCGGTGCCAATTAAATGCTTTCTCTGGTCAAGGCTAATGGCGGCCAGAATGTGCTAACAGTGACAGTAAATATCGTTCAAAATCCGAGTGCAGAAAACAAAAAAAAAAGTTGGAACGTAATGTGCACACTGCCGGCTACCACTGGATGTAGACTCCGGGCAAACGACATGCAAACGCTGAGTGCAGTAAATTTAAACGTGCAAAACGACGATTAAATCATTTGTGTTCTATCATAGATTGCGAGCTGCGATTCCAGGCTAGGGCAAAATTCTCACGACTGTCCATATAAAATATATTAATGCCTCTCTAAGAGTATCATATTGGACACAATGTTGTAGTACTCGAAGTAATATGTAGTTAACTCAACTGCAACGCCACAACCCAAGCTCACCATGAGTGGCAAGAGCTAGCGTGCAGGACAGCATTTGTTCCTACAAGTCACTATATGGACATGTAGCGGTAGCTGCTCCTACTAGTCACTATATAGACATGTAGCGGTAGCTGCTCCTACAAGTCACTTTATAGACATGTAGCGGTAGCTGCTCCTACAAGTCACTATATAGACATGTAGCGGTAGCTGCTCCTACAAGTCACTATATAGACATGTAGCGGTAGCTGCTCCTACAAGTCACTATATAGATCCTGTCTCTTATACACATCTAGATGTGTATAAGAGACAGCTATATAGACATGTAGCGGTGGCTGCTCCTACAAGTCACTATATATACATTTAGCGGTAGCTGCTCCTACAAGTCACTATATAGACATGTAGCGGTAGCTGTTCCAGTCCCCCGGTGGGACTTACTGCGATAATTACCTGTACATTTATGTAAAATAGGAAAAATGACTTAAAATAAACTACGTGCCTTATATATTAGTTTCCTTCTCGGTAGCACTGATAGATTATTGTCAGGACAAAACAAATGTTATTCGCATGATGTGAACAAACTGATCTGGTTGGATTTAGTTTCGCGTTGAAGTACAATCGGGTCATCGCTACACTTTTGAAATAATTTACATGTTTCGCGAATTTTGAACAAGAGATAAGGACAATAGTCAACGTTGTCAATGGTGAATTTGCATTACTGAATAAATATTCCCGAAATGTGGAAATAGGAACTAACAGAAAAAAATAATATTTGCGTGGGAATATTTTGACGTGCAGTAAGTCTCTGTGGCGTTTAGCACATTTTAACCACTTCCACGAGTACGATTTTGACTATTGAGTCGAGGATGTTCCGATTGTACGACAAACTTACATTAAAGATAATATATTTGACCAGATACCAGAAAAAAAATTGATTTTATGTTAGGGGCTGAAATCATTTTTTATACGGAGAAAAAAACCAAGACTGGTAAAAGTTTTATGCGGTGAAAGAGGCAAGACTGGTAAAAGTTGGTCCATATGTGAGACTAGACTATAGCAATCGCAATGAATATTTACTTCGTATATACACTTTTCACGGAGTCCTTGCGCACGGTACGGGCAAAGCATTGATCCCCAATGGTTGGTCTAATAACGTGCCAATTTTTCCATCGTCACGTAGCACGGATGCCCCATGTACCGATGAGTGCAGCAGAAAAGAAGTCGTTTGCAGCGAAGACGCAGCCAATCACCGGGGAGTTGTCTGACCAGTGGTAAGGGCCGTTGTTAGGAGTTTGGTAAGCGCTCAGCCAGGCCGCGTGAACTGTACCCCATATTACCTATTTTCCATGGTCTGCGAGTAAGCCGCAAAAAATTAGTGAGGAATCACTAGATTTCACTGTTAATTGGAAAACTAGCCAGACCGTTGTACCTACAAGGGATGTTCATATTCCGTCCTCCGCAGAAGAACCCTGAGAAAATTGTGTACACGTTCACTTTCCTTCACTGAACAATGGGAACTAAGAGAAGCTGATTTTTCTGATCAGCTCCAGCTAACTCCCATTCATGTTCAATTAGGATTTAACCTGTTATATTAAAATTAAATAAATATAAATAAAAATGGGAATTATTTTATTAAATGTTCAAAATTGACGGTTAATAATAGTTTCTGACAAACGAATTCCCAAGAAGGATGGATGATCGTTCATATAAAGACGAAGAAGAACTGTAAATTCTGCTATCAACCATTTAACTAATGTTTATGGTTGAGCTTGACACAACCATAAATGACACATAACATTTCTGCATCAGGTTGTCACGTGAATCAATTGAAAATATGACCAAGTTATATTACCAGCGACGAGCTGCCTAGCTTCTCGAAGCAGTTGCTTGGTGTTGATGATGAGCGGAACCCCGCCTTCTGCACCGCACATCTTCTTCAGGTTGTCGGGAGATCCGTTGAAGGTTTTGCCTTTGGTGATGAACGCTTCTTGAATAACTGCAAACAAGGAGCAGTCAGTATACGAAAAAGATGCATGAAGTCTCTAGTACACAATACTAATATTCATCCAACTTACACAATCAGTTGTAGAGGAAATAGATTTATTCATGTATATATGGACATAAGTAGCAATGTATTAGGTATTAGGATTTTGATTTTTCATTTTTAGTTTTCAATTACCTTAGCCGTGACCTCCTGCAACATTGCGTTTTACCTGTCATTGTGTCTAGTGTTCTTGCCGTGGAGGTACGTCAATCGATAGTTCTGTGATTATATTTGTGTTTGTTCAATTTTAGAAGTGATTAGTTTCGTGTTAGTGATTATTTGTGCGTGTTAATTTGTTTGTTTATTATATATTCATTCTCTAGTTAGTTATTTCATGCGTTATTTTTGTTGTATTTCAGGAAGGCCTCGATGTTCGAACTCGATATATGAGCTCAAGTTATGAACTATATTTGGACGTGATTAGTGAATTGAAAGTGAATGAACGCACGGTTAAAGTCAAGTTAAAGTGAGGTTAGGATTAGGGTGTTTTGGTTCGTTGTCTTTTGTTTCTATTTATTCATTGTTAATTATATTCACTTGAAACTATTTATTCATTGAAGAAAATCCTTGGCCTTGAACGGTTTATTAAAGTCTTGAAGAACGATCACGTGCTATGTGTCGGGGAGACGTCAGTTTAATAAGAGATAGTCCCCCAACACAGTAATGGCACCAGCACTAAAACTTCATAAAACAAATAATTTTTCTTCAACGTAAGATCTCACCGAACTTGAAGAGGCTGATGACGCCAGGAGCAAATGTTGTCGTGACGTTGCAAGGAGCGTCGTACGTCATGCTGCACACCGACGTCGTAATGTCATACGACGCAGCGCTGCACTTGGGCAGCACGAAGCACTTCGCCTTGCACTCACCTGGGGTAGCCTCAAGTTAATTGTAATAATTGGAAGCAGTCTGAAGACTCCTCATTAAATATTAAATATTTCTCATTCCATCAAATGTGAGGATTCCTCAATAAATATTCAAGATTTTCGGTTTGTGCTTAGGGGCGGTGAACGCTAGTAGGCAAGCGAGTTCGAATCAATGTGATACCGCTCAAAAACGAGACATAATTCAACAAAAATATTTTATTCCTAAGATGGTGGTTGTTCAATACATGAAACACACATATGAATAAAGTCATGGATAAAAATTAGTCGATAAATCTTTAAATGAAAGGATTGCCAACTTAGTTATTGTGTCGCAAATTGTTATCCCTATGACCTTATGATGGGTTTAGGACGTCGTAGTCCACGGTCACGCTGATGCGCCGCCTTCGCTGATTACTACAATTGGTTTCTTTTAATCCATTGTTGATTCAAGTTTTTAGTTCTAATTTGATGCCCCAGCATATTTTATAGGTTATCGTGAAATTCTAACACATATAATTAGAAACAGTAATAATTGAAATTCTAAGGCTAATATTAATACTAACAGGAAATGATTGAAATTCTTAGGCTTTACTTTTCCAATGTTCTCTTTTAAACAATGTATGGGGACAATGAACGAATAATTTTGCTTGTCAATGAAAAGTGTCCTAGAAAATAGAGAAATTTTTCATATAAACTCGTTTATTAACAATATATGATTTTTCTTAGTCATATCAATGACAGTGCATAATTATTCCTCATCAATGCAAATAGTCTATAATCACTGTTGGAAGTTCAACTTTCCGTATCATCAACGGCTGATTATTTCGACCCCGCGAACGATCACACTCGAATACACTCACACTCTACGGAACTCGATACAGCGAATCTGGTTTTAAGCATGAATATTATCTATTCTGCCCAAGGTAACAGCAATTAAATAGAAGCTTGCGATCCTTCCTAATCCTACTCTCCCTTGAATTTAAATCCTTATGGTATTACGATATAATTTCTGATAAATATCCGTTAGCAATAAAAATATTCATTTTCTGCGAAAATGCGGAATACAAAACTTTTTCGTCCGCATGTATGAATGCTGGACATCGTTTATCTAGAGCAATGGCATTATTATGAACTTCAGTACTCAAATTAATTTGTCACTCTATATTTATAATTGAAAATCAGGTAAAAAAGTGGTCCATACATAGATTTTACAATTGTAATAATTATTATCTCGTATTATATTGACTCACACGCCGCTGATGCCGTCATGTTTAGGTCTGGATGAAGTACGGTCACGTTCATCATGATCGTCTGAAACACCACGGCGTCTGCGGCCGTTCCAAGCAGCGTAACTATCGTTAACAGCAACAGCGGCCCCGCTCGCTGATGGCCATTGTGAGAAGCCATCCTGAGTACTGAAGTGGTCTGGGGAGGACGACGCGGTCTTTTATAAGCCATCGAATGTGTCCGCTTAAAAGTTTTCTGAATTTTATATTGTTCTAAAACCTCAATTTATGATCGATAATTATTGGGCATTTTCGTAACCTATGATGCTTAATTAAACGCAACATGTGATAAATTGTTCATTACTTTCTGGATGAAAGCATAAGAAGCTATTATATTGAAGTTAGAAGTTTATAATTGCATTGCACGCGATAGGAATAATTTATACCAAAAATTTTACTTCCATTTGTGCCTTTGGCGTCTGCTCAGATCTTGAATTTTGGCCATTTACATTATTTCTTTTTAGGATGGATAAAGCGACGGAGATTAATTTCAGTTTATTGATGGTCAGGTTTTGCGATAATTCAGCTCATAATGAAAGAGAGATCTAAGAATTGCTGGCATAAACAATGTAATTATTATTTTTATCGCAATGCTTAACGGCTTTTCGCAATCAACGAACACATTTTGGTGACGCGCTGAGAATATAATGAAGAAAGTTTTCTAATGCAGGATATTACGCTGGCTTATACTGATGATCGAAATGTTTTAGCTGCTCCTACTTTCATTTATGACAACACTCAATTTTTTTAGACGGTACCTTAGATTTAAAAATTCCTATGACATGAAAACAGATAGGCCCTCCTTGTAAAACATTAGAAATTTCAAAATTCTGTTGGTAGTAAATCTTTTTTTAAATTCTATGCTTTAAAAATTCAACACATATACCCGCATGGAGCTGAATTCTTAAACAAATTACATATAATCGAAATAATACTGTAACATAATGATCATTGTCATGCAATTCTACGGAATTCCAAACATAGATTTCAGTATCTCGGGCGCTAATCGTATTCCATTCCTAACTTTTATTCAAACTAAAATTGCCATTCAAAATTTTATGCAAGACGAATTACTAATAAAATTTTTACTCTTGTGGCAGAACTTTTTTTACACGCTCATGAGCTTTGGAGTGTCCGTTTCGCAGCATTAGTTACGATTATTGATGAATTATTTTATATACATGCAAATACCTGACGAAATATTCGGCCATTCGTAGCCTCTACAAAGCTTCGAAAATATTAGCCACAAATATGGCGGATAAGGTGGATTATGATGAAGGATTAGCCACAAATATGGTGAATATTCTATCTAAATCTGTGGGAGTCGTGGAGGAAACTATGTGCAACGGTGTTTTGTTTATTTATGCGGTGTGGTTGTCATTGAATTCTTGAATAATTAATATTATAATTCAGCTAACCGTGAATTTGACTTCCATTAAGTAAAATTGATTTTCTAGAGCTACTTAAACTCAGGTGACCATTTTGGTATAAGCTTCATCGAATCGAAGCTTGCCCTGAGAAACAGGTGGTTCAATTAGTTCCTACCTAGTAAAAATGAACCAAACTGTATAAATTAAAATAATAAATGTATTAATAATTAACAAATGACCTCTTGGAGAGCATGATTGAGGAGTATTGCTAATATATAAAGATTATGAAAATAATTGACCTTATATCAAAGCCGTGAAGATGTTACGCACCTCAGCAGTGGGTTCAGTGAAATTATTCATTACCCTACATAAGCAATGTAAGTTAAAAGACATACGTGTTTAAGTATTTAACCTACGGTTGGAAGCCAGCCAATACCAAGGGAGCTGTCGCGCCCAGTTGAACGTCTTCCTATGGTCGTGACAGGCACTTAGCCATTAGCTGTGCTAAAAGTTAGGGATACGTGCTCCATGAACTGACTTTAACGGGCAAACACAATTATTGTTCTAAACTTCACGTTGAATTTAGATAGTTAATCATAAAAATGGAAGAGAATAGATTTCATTGAAGGAAAATACATTCATTGTACATTGTACAATGCAATAAATTCAGAAGAGAAATACAATAACGGGCATTCGAGCCATCCGTTGATTTCATATAATATCAAACAATCGAATCCATCTCCTTTAATAAATTATGTACGAATAAGGAATCTGACTTATAAAATCACAAATGAACGCGTTTATTTCTTTTCAAATTGAGTGTATTACGCCGAATTTCAGAATTATTTGTAATAGTAAACATAAAGTTCAGACCACCTGATTTATTTTAAGCCTTCGTTCCGTGGATGCAATATAGTATTCAGACTATAAGTATTATGGTCATGATTTGACTGCAGTGAACCCAAAGTCACCTGGCAATTTAAATACCATTTTCCCTAGAAAAGTGATAAATGTGAGGAGTAATTGCCTCCTTTCAGTATTTCTTGCGTAACTTTGATGATTGTTTCACTCTCACGGCGTCCGGGAAAGTTAGTATATAGTCCCCTGTAGCGCATGGTTCACAGTGCCGTCAAATGCAGCCGCGACTGCATCAGTCCGGACAAATTGCTTTGTTGGAAAATAAGAGCTATTTAATTTCTCCATATTATTGTGCATAATTCACCCTCATTCATGACCAAAATAATGTTTTTTTGTGGTTGGGATTAAAAGTTAATTAGAGCACAGCCTTACTAGATAATATAATAGAAGCTTAAGCATGAACATTTTTTTAGTTTAGTCATGTTGCGAAAATCTAAATTAGTTTCTGCATTCATGTGCAATATATTCGAACTGTCATATTTTCGGCGTGCGGTATTCAAGTATCAACTAATTTTATTCGTAGAAACATCTAACCAATTCCTTGCTGCAGTTAACAGTTGCTAATGAGGGCAAATTGATGATATATTATCTTTCAATTAAGTCATACAACTTGGTAACACGACTGTTAAATGAATCGCCGGGCGATACATCGGTCGACGGTTGACTAAATTATCCATATTAAAAACTAACCACCAAATTGAATAGTCTGAATTATTGCATATGGCATAATATTAGAGAGCAGAAACCAGCTGTGATGATTGTTACACTTGAAAATATCATTCATTTGACTAACCATACATACAAACAAGTACATCTTTGAATAATCGGTTATTAAGGGGAGCGTCTACCCTAAAATTGAAAATTTTCACTTTTTCGGTTTTTATACTCATTTTAAAGCTGACATTCTGCCCTATCCAACGGTACCACTGCCATATCTGTACGTTGATTAATGATTTCACGACATTTCATGAAAGGGGGGTGGGTGGGGGAGTTCTTTAAGTAATTAGATAGGAACTAATTAACTGCTGAGCTCTTTAAATATAGTGTCTACTTGAGTCGTGCTGCAGTTACGTGTTTAGTCTCATCTTAAAGCTGACATTCTGGCCTATCCAACGGTACCATTACCATCTCTGTACGTTGATTTGTACGTTCACGACACTTCATGAAAGGGGGGCGGGGGGAGAGTTCTTTCAGTAATTACATAGGAGCTAATTCGCTGCCCAGCACTACAAATACAGTGTTTCTATGAGGTCTGACTCTGTGTGCCTCCGGGCTTTGTAGGGAGAGATGCGCATGTAGTTGCTCCCATCATCCTTGAGTGGAATCAAGATCCAGAAACGTTTAGTTTGGTATCTATGCTACATTGAGCGCCTATTGCAGTGCGCTCGGGACTTTGTCGGGCTCTCCTCAACATTCACACTTATTGTCACGGAAAACCTATCTCCTCCTAGAGTTTTTGAGCTACAACAATGAGACATATACCATTCGATGCGCAACAAAATTATCTAGAACGGATGGCAGGCTTTTTTCTAATTTCGTTATAGTTTGGATTTTATTCCGCAAAAAGGGGGGTGGCGGGGGGGAAAATCGAAAATTTTTCGAAAAATTCACGAAAAATGCTCCCACTCCCACAAAAATTAGAAATCCAAAAAACCGCTGCCATCAGTTTTAGATATGGTCTTTACGCATCGAATGATATGTGTCTCGATGTGGTAGCTTGAAAATCCTAGGAGGAGATAGATTTCTACGGTACCCCCTTTTTTGGCCGTTTTCTAAGAATTTCACGTTTTCTTTCATTTTTTTCGAAAAATTCACACGAACAAAAATGTCTTAGAATTCTGTTTTACATATGTGTACCAAGTTTCAGAGTGATCCGTTCGTAAATAGCCGAGATAAATTTTAGGGTAGACGCTCCCCTTAAAGCCAAACCCATGGTTTGAAAACCATAAAATAAGGGTTTTTCGGGGTTNTGTCAACTTCTCTAAGAAGCTTGTACTGTGGTTGTGATGTAGGCCTACTACATTTAACTTTAATAGAAGAATAGTTTTTGGTGGTAACGAAGGTGTTTTGATCACACCTTTACCGGAAAACAGCCAGAAGGTAGAGTAGCAGCAGCGGTAGCCGTCAACGTTGCTGTGGTTTTAGTCAGACATAGTAGTGTTTTGATCACTCACCTGTGTCGTAGAGCGGTTTGGAGGTAGTGTAGCAGCGGTGGAAGCCGTTGCCGTTGCTGTTGTTGTAGTAAGGCGTAGTTGAGTTTTGATCACCTACCTCTATCGAAGAGCGGTTTGGAGGTAGTGTAGCAGCGGTGGAAGCCGTTGCCGCCGCTGTTGTTGAAGTAGGGCGGGATGACGGCGTTGGTTACTATGCAGGCTCGCGAGGCCGTCAAACAAAACGTAGAATCTTTTTGACTGGAGGCCACGGCCGCGCACCTGAAGAGAGTCATGTTGGGGTACGTGGTGCTGACCACGTTTCCTGCAAAGTCCGAGGCTTGCAGTTCCACTTTATAGGCAAGTACCAAGCCGAGCATGACACCTCCAGCGCCACCAGTAAAGTACACGGCGACTAGGCACGTCGTGGCCAAGAGTGTTCTAAACGCAGCTCTCATCGTCGTGGCGGTTGCTGCCCAGCGGCTGGTTGTGCCTATGTTTTGTTACAGATTGTTTTCGGTAATCAAGTAAACGTCCTGTTATTACTTTATA